TACCTCTATTCTATATGGTGGCTTTGTATGTGAAACTGGGCTTCCTAATGCTGGTTTTCCAGATAAAGGTATTTCCGCAATTTAAGTAGAGAGACACCTTATGTTTAAGGGGATCTTAGGAGGTAATCGAGCCCATCACTCTCTCCCTGCCAGATGCCGGTTTCCTACTTTTCTCAGCCCTATTATGATCTGGAAGCTGTCCATGGAAGGATAGGCCCTTATCTCCCTTGGTTGTGAATTTCAGGTTCTCATGCAGTTTTGTTTCTGTTGCTGCAATTAAATCTGCTTCCTTCTTTTTTAAAATCGTTTTCCAGTGAGAGGTTTGTATTTGAGGTGAATTAATTGTACTTAACTATATCTTCTCTCTTTCCCATTTTAGCTACTACCATTTGTGATCTGGATACCCAGTTCCGTTGCCAGGAGTCTGGGACCTGTATCCCACTGTCCTACAAATGTGATCTTGAAGATGACTGTGGAGACAACAGCGATGAAAGTCACTGTGGTAAGGGGACATGATGTCCAGGAACCCTGTTCCAGAGAGGGCAGCACCCTTGCTCACTGGGTTGTATTATTGGATGGGATGGGTTGGAAATGGAGGATTTCTGAAAGCCATTTTGGGACTTATGATATCCAGCTGCGTGATCACCTCTGTCGGCATGGTAGGATTGATTCATTGATAAAGCAATAGATCCTACTTTATCGTGAGAGTGAATGTGATAGTAAGGAAATGAGGTTTCTAAATGAACTCAGGCAGATATTAGCAGCTATACACTTGGGCCACATCTCTGAGTGGCTGTGAGATTAGACTCCTGAGGATACAGATCTATATCTTTGTGAACTGGTTTTTTTTTTTTTTTTTTTAACCAATCTAATTCAGAAAACTCTGTTAGAAGTCAATAGATGGTACAAACATTGTTTGAACATCTATTTTCTGAGTGAAAAATTTTTATATTTAGAAAAATAGTGTGTTGGAATCACAACGAATGATAGGGATTCTCTAGTTCAGTCCTTTTGCTTTCCAGATTCAATGACCGAGGTTCATAGAGGGTGGGGGGCTTATTCGAAGTGCCACAATTGGTTCGTGTCAGCATGGGGAACTGGAACCCATGTTCCCCATGCCCTTCCAGTTGCACAGTACTGCCCTGTCAGTTTCACAAGTCCTGTCTCAGTTAACAGGCTCTGGTACCAAACCCAGAGTCACTGACTGTTGAAAGAAGAAGCACTATGCAGTACACATAGTGTACCAGATTGGAGGAATCACAGGCATGAAAGGGAAGAGAGGCTGAGGCCTGATACTTTGTGCTGTGTTGGGGTGGCCTTGCTAGTGGCATGTCCAGGCAAGTTTACGAGCAAGGCCTGCTTTATCATGAGCAGGTAGTTTGCCTCAACAGGGACTGAGACAAGGGCAGCAGAGGAAATGCTCCTAGCCAGCTCTAAGAAGAATTTTGGGTGGGATTACTTATTTTTTTTCATCTTTATATAAATATGAATTTCAGAAAACAGTCCTTGGGATTCACAACTATTTTCCTTTCAATCCTCCTATTTCCTTCTCAGTAGTCTGAGGGGATTAAAGTCTATAGCTAGTTTTACTCTGGTAGAAAGGAAACTCCACATGGTTACATGTTTCTGATGTCATCTTCCTCACTCACTGGACTCACATTTGACTATTAAACAGTTTCAGTGCCCTCAGATTTTTCATTCATGGCCCATCATGTTGGTGTATCTTGAATGCATCCCAAGGTCTCAGCTCGTCCTTTCCTCAGAGCTAGGTTCTCTTCGTCAGTCTCTGGACGGTTTCCTCATAAATAACTGAATCACCAACTTTGCCATCAGCCTGTCTCTTGAGTGAGGCAACTGAGGTAGCCACCTTGGGTTCCAAAGTTGGCTACTACTATTCTTTTAGAATCTTTAAAATTCCATTGGAAGGTTCTTTAATGCAATCCTCAGGGCCTACACTATATGTTGCCAGTGCAGCCTCCTTTTAAGTTGTGATCAGGCTGCACCAGTTCATTTGCCCCAGGCCCCCACCCTTCTAGAGACTGCCCACCAGCCACCATTCCTGGAGCTCTACTCTCAGAAAGTCCCAAGTTCACATTTCCTCTATTTTGGAAGTACAGCAGCAATCCCACTTTTCCCAAGCTGAACACCTCAAATTGATCCCCACATTCAAGAGTTTTTATCACTCCTATTCTGAAACCACAGACTCTGTCTCTGTCTCTAGAATTCTTCTGTTTCTTAAAAATTCTTTCTGGACAACTAGAAGTTGCTTTCCAAACTTCTTTCCATCATAGCAAGAGTAGAAAATGATGATATTCATAAAATACACTGAGATCAATGGACAGACTTCTCTTGACTAGAGACAACCAGTGGCAAGAGTGTGAGGTGTCAGTATCTCAACGCATCTGTACACCGTTTGCAGCACATAGTTGGAAACCGGCCTCGATGACTTTATATCCCTGGTTTAAGTCTCTGCATCCATGCTCTTTCTGGATAATCAGTGAAAATGAGATAATGGTGCATCTCTGACCCTTAGTAGCTTTGACACAAGATAGAATTCTGAGCGAACTTTTCCCTCACATCTCTGTGGTCTCGCCTACAGAAAGGCACCAGTGCCGGAAGGATGAGTACAACTGCAGCTCTGGCATGTGCATCCGCTCCTCCTGGGTGTGTGATGGGGACAACGACTGCAGGGACTGGTCTGATGAAGCCAACTGTACTGGTCAGTATTTCCTGGACTCTTAACAGCTGTTATCTGTTCATGTGCTAGTGAGCATTGAAGCCCTACATCATCATAGAATCCAGGCTCTAAGAAATGGGTCTTAGAAATCAGCTAGTTCAGTGCTTCTCAAAGAGTTGGTCTATGATGAGCTTATGCCAAAATGTAAATCTTCTGCTTTCTTCATTGAGAGAGTCTTGCTATGAAAAAATGTTAACTGAGTTAAACTGTCTTGAGTGATATGTAGTTGATTTACATTCTGGCTCAAGTTTCATATTTCTTCAGGACCAATAATAAACAGTTTACAGCCTGACCTCTGGTTTTGGGACCATACACTGAGTGGCACTGAACTATCTTTTGTTTTCAAATGGAATATCAGAGGGTTTCCCAAACAGTGAAAACTTAAACTATGCTTATACCTGTTTGGGTTAAGATTTCATTAAAAATGGAATTGGAAACAACACGAAAATATCAGAGGAAGGCTAGGTGGTATAAAGTGTAGGTAATGTTCTGATTCTTCTGTTGGGTAATAGGTTCACTCATGTTTATTGCACTATTTTTAATTGTGTGAATGAATGAGTGAGTGAATGACATGTACATTATGGTAGAATGAGGTAAAGCAAGGAATTGGGGAAGTTGTGGTGGAAAAAGAAAAAAATTTACTACCTGATGAGTAAATTTTCTCTGCAGCCTCCTCTAAAAATTCTCATTTAGTTCTATCTTAAATCCCTCCAGTGACAGAGATAAAGGTGTTTTGCTTAACCATATTATAATGAAGGCAGCCATGCTTTATACCATGATAAATCAGACTTTTTTTATAATTCATCACTAAGGAGTCAACATCTCATTCATCTGGCATGGATTATTACTGTTACAAAATAGTGGAGTGACTTTGAAATATTGTGCCTTAACCTTTCTTGTCCCTGTAGTACCATAACAGTTTCTATACTGCCCAGCATTTGGGAGCTCACAAGCATGCTTATTTATTTGTAAGAACAAATTAAAAAAACTTAGATCTATTACCATATCCCAAACTTAAACATAACTAACTGTGTTGTGCTTTGGTTTAGATATGATTCCTGAAAGGCCTCTATCTTCTATTCGTTTGTATCCTCCCAGTGCTTAGCCTGGTAGAGTACATGTTCAGAGAACCTTTGTTGACTGGAGAGTACATGTTCAGAGAACCTTTGTTGACTAGAGAGTATATGTTCAGAGAAACTTTGTTGACTTTGTTGACAACTGCTTCTCTCCATCTGTTTCAGTTTAGACATGACCTTATGTTCCCTTTGAGGAGTAAATGGATCTCCTCAAATGTCTACATCATACAGGATGATCTGTGATGTTACTGATTCCCTTTCTTTGTAAAATTCCCCCATATCATTTGTGATGCAGTCTCGGTGTCTGCACCTCTGCTTCTGGAAGGACTGCAGGAAAATTCTCTCCATATATGAGCATGGACTGAAGAAGGAGGAAAAACCAAGGTCCATGAAGGAACTACGGTCATCCCTGACAGCATTAGAATGCTGTTTGGAAGCTTTGGGTTTAGGTGGATAATTGGTTAATAAATTAGTTGGGTGCACTTGGGCATTTCAATTTGTAAATTGCAGGATGATTGAACATCTTGTTAGCACAACCACATTAGTCAAACTTGTGTTTCAGAAGCATGTGCTAGTCCTCCAGAATGAATTAACAACTTCATTTCTATGAGGCGGCTTGTTATGGACCAGTGGTTCCCCATCTTTTTTGGCGCCAGGGACTGGTGCTCCTATGAGAATCTAATGCCTGATGATCTGAGGTGGAGCTGAGGTGGTGATACTAGCGCTGGGGAGCTGCTTCAAATACAGATGAAACTTTGCTTGCTTGCACACCACTCACCTCCTGCTGTGCACCCCCGTTCCTAGTAGGCCATGTACTGGTCCACAGCCCAGAAATTGGGGACCCCTGTCATAGACTTTTGATTTTATCTCTGGTTTTCTCTGGCAGGGCTAACTGGAGAAAATGTAGAGTGCTTGCACCTCAACTGCAGCCTTGTTCCAGTAGCTGTTCTTCCAAACTTTTTAAAGGTGATTCTGTTTCTCCATCATCTCAAAATAGTTGGAGGTCAGATGTGAGCTTAAGATGTGTGGCGCGTCACTTCCTTTGTTGACCTAATAAATTAAGTCATGTGCAAAGCCAAAGAAAATAAGTCAAGGACAGCTGACTTCCTGTTGGCCTCAGCTGGTATGCATGGTCTGTGCTTACATTTTCTTTGTTCTTCTCCTGCCTTTTTGCTTTCCATGGGATTGAGGGTATTATTATTATTATTATTATTATTATTACTCCTTTCTCACTACCGCTCTGCGTTGATTTTGAACTTAAACATTTGATTTTTGTTCTTTTAGCTGTTGCCCTCAGGCTTCTTATGTGTATGCTTAATATCTTTTCTTTCTCCTAGACCTGCAAGGGCTTCTGAACACTCTAATTCTAATCTCTGCATACAGTTTCATTACCAACATACTTAGTAAATACTTTGCATTTTAATTTTATATTTTTAAAGTCCTGAAATTAGCCATTGTTACTATTTTTTAGTAACCACATTTATTTATAGGTATCTACCTATTCTCCAGTCACTTTTGCTTCTTCCATCTAATGCTTCCTTTCCAAGTACATTCTTCAGTGTTTCTTGCAGCAGGAGACTGTCAGTGGTAAACTCTTTCACGGTTTTATTTATATAAACATTGTTTCACTTTCAATGCTGAATACAGATTATCTGGTTTTCTAGGTTTATAGTAATTTTCCATAAGTATTTTAATGGAATTATTCCATTTCCTTCTGATATATTTTGTATTGATTTGAATTCTCCTTTCTGATTATCTTTTGAACAACAATCAGACATTCTTTTCTCTATAGTTTTTAGTTTTTGTGTGTGTGCATGTGTGTGTATGTGGCAGAGGGGTGTTGTTGTTGTTGTTGTTATGCAGTTTCATCTACCTAGGTATGGAATTATTTATCCTTCTTGAGACTTGTTTTCCTTCTAAAATCTGAGGATTTATATTTTTCATCAATTCTGGGAAATTACAGCCACTGTCTTTTCAGCCATGTCTGCTACTTTTCTGGTTTTATCTTCAGTGATTACCAACAGCCGTTTGTTGGACTGTGTCATTTCGTCATTCATGCCTCTTGTTTTTATAGTTGTTGTCTCTTTATGACTCTGTGCTAGAATTTAAGGTACTTCTTCAGCTTTCTCTTCCAGTGCAACAGTTTTTTTTCAGCTGGATCTAATCTGCTCTTTCACACATTTACTGAGTTGTTTTTATTTCCATGACTATATTTTTTTATATCTAGAATTTCTATTTGGTTCTTTTTCAAATCTGTCTTTTAGTTTTCAGTACCCTTTCTTTTTGCTTTACGTTTTTTGTTTTTTGTTTGTTTTGTTATCATTCAAATTGCATTGAGATTAGCATTTCTTTTCCTCATTCACTTTAGTGAATTAATATAGGGCTTTGAAAAAAATGGGCAGTGCTTTCCTCATCATAGTAATTAATTCACATCTCCTGCCCCACTTTTATTTGGTTAATGCTTTTGATCAGGCGATATAGAGGATCTTACTGAATCAGAAAAGATCTGTCCAAGTTAGAGAGTAAATTGTAGGGTAATCTCTTTTAGAAATGCTGATATTCTAATTTCATGATCATTTACTCATTAACCTTTCTGTTCTTACAGTCACAATGAATGCGGTCATGCAAAGGATTCTACTGTTCCTTCCTCAGATTCTTTAGTCTGTATTAAAGTCAATCTCTTCCATCCTTATAATTAAAAAAATATATTAACTGAACATATGTTAATTATCTGACACTCAGTGTCAGAGAGCTAGTAAGTTACTTGACAGAAAAATTCAGAAGAGAATGTGTTAAGCATTGCAGTCATACCTGGTCACGTGAATGAAATTATGCAAACTGGTCAGTCTTTCCTAGCTCAGCTTCTTCTGTGATAGAATCTTGAGATCTCAGACGTGCCTCCTAGAATTGTCATTTGGAAACTCCATTAGCACTCTGAAATTGTTTTCAATTAAAAGCGATATGCATACACTGAATAATAACAAGTAGATCAGTATGGCAATGAGTTTAGGCAACGGTATGTTTTATGAAAGTGAGCAAGGCTTTGATGAGGAATTTTTTTAAGTGCTGTCAGACTTGTAAAAGTAATAGATCAAAAATATTTTAGGCAATGGCTGTTAATGGAGCAAAAGCTCATGTAGCATTCATGATACACTTAATTCCTCTTATCAGAGATAAGTATATTTTAAAAAGACGTTTAATGGATTCTGAGTGCTATAGGTTGTAAAATATTGAGACTTTATACAGACTTGTTTGCATGCTACCAATTTTAGCCCTGGTCTTCAGAGAAATATGAAGATAGCAGTTAATAGACCACCACTTATTTTAAAATGGCTTGAAAAATCAGGTTCTTTATATTTCAGACTATTACAAAAAATAGCCTCAAATTCAGTAGAAATTCTAGAGGGCATTGGAAGGCAATTTTCTCAACCCTTGAGCAATAAGTATTGCCAACCATCTTGATTGAATAAATAACTAGTTTATGCTCCACACCCACTTGTGTTTGTTTTGCCTTCTGTCATGAAGACATCGTGTCCACACAGTTAAACCAACAGAGAGCCCATCCGTCTTGGCTATATTATTTTATGCCAGTTGTAACCAACTTTCAAACATGGCTTTCATTCAACAATGAACAGACACAAACAGCTTTCTGTTTCAAAGGAGGAAGGGGAAATCTGGTGGAGAAGGCCTAAGGTTAGTAGTGTTGGTTGGGTTTGAGGCAGATGTTATGCATTTGAACTATCTTTGACCAAGGTTTTGAGATGTTTCTAAAAGACTTCCAGGCAGCCTCAGCCCATGTGTGCAGATGAGGCTATTCATTTATAACAGTGACTTTCTGTTTCATTTGCCTCTTGTTTCTTTTAATGATTGTACTGAATGCCATGTATTGTTGCCTGGCAGATGTTGCTCTAGACTGTCCAGTAAGTTAGACAGTTCTAGGTTCTGGGGCCTGTTTTCTTTGATATTTTGGATAAATCTTTTATGTTCTTTGACCTGAGGTTTTTCACATTTGAATTTGGGTAGTTTATTTAGAATTATAAAAGCATGGCCTTTAAGAGCTTATAAGGGTCCTTAGATATCAATATAGTTGATGAAATTGAGGCCCCCAAACAGTGACTGGACCAGGTCTAGAACTCAGTCTACTGAGCACATGCTACCTCTCTTTACCCTGCAGAATCTGGAGGAGTGAGAAGATTTATGTTAGAAGATAAAGTATCAAGGAGGCATAGAAACAGCATGGGCTTTGGACTTGGACAGCTATGGTGTTATTACTTAATTATCTCTGTGAATGTGAGCAAGTTTCATAATCTCTCTGAGCCTGTTTTTCATCTGTAAAAGGGGAATGATTCTTTGTTGTAGAAAATGAATGTGCTTGTGTAACATTTATAAGCCTATCAACTCAAGTCATTGCCCATTCAGGAGGCTGCACTCCACCTAAAGGGCAGCCCCAGGTGCCTGCATCCTCACCTAAGATGTATTCTCAGATGCTCCAGTTTATGCCTTATTACCTAGCATAATCCTTTTTCAGGCAGTCTCTTGATGGTTATTGTGGGGAGCAGAAATGAAGGGAACATTGATGATTTCTCTCTTCTCTGTTGCTGGCAGCCATCTATCATACCTGTGAGGCCTCCAACTTCCAGTGTCATAATGGGCACTGCATCCCTCAGCGCTGGGCATGTGATGGTGACATGGATTGCCAAGATGGTTCTGATGAGGATCCAATCAACTGTGGTAAGTACAAATGCTTTGGCCCTCACCTGGAGCTTTCACAATGTCTGCTGTTCAGGAAGAGGCAACAGGAAATGAAATACTGTTCTTCCGTGCCTGTGTACCCACTCTGACAGCTAAACATTCCCATTCACTTCCTATGTGGCGTCACCATGTGATATGTAGATAGTGGTGTGTTACACAACCTTGATTCTCAGTCAAGCAGTTTGCCTCACTGCTTTTTTATAATAGCTTTGAAGAAAAGAAATGGAAACCAACTAACCTACCCAGAATGCTAAATACAGTCACATTACCAGTGTTCTGCCAGAAAAATAGGCAACAGCTCCTGTGTGAATAGCATACTTTATGACTAAGGGTTCTCTGTTATCCTCAGGGAAAATGGCTCCCCACCTCAAAGGTAGAATTTTTCAGTGTAATTAATTTAAGAAAGAATTCTGAGATAGTCAGTCATCTTCACAATAGAAATTAACCACAAAATAGCTGCCACAAAAACACAATATATAAAATACTTTTTACACCAAATATTTCTATGGTTCCCTATGCATACCCTTTTGCTGTCTGTAGGAAAAGCTCCTTATGTTTATCCTCTGCTCTCAACACTCATAGAATACTTCTGACACTTCCTAGCCACCAAATATATGTTTTTCACATGAAGCAATTTTGCAATACCAGCTAAATGTCTCACAGTTTAGCTCAATCCTGACACCATTTTCCTCTAGATAGAGTCATTTCCCACAGGTTAAGGGGCTCAAGCCTGCAAGACTCCCTCCCACCTACTTCAGATGCTAGTCCTAAGTCCCACGTTTACCTGTACTTCTCTGACTGATCAGCTATAAATCTGGATTCCCACAACCCCCTCCTAGAGTTTGATAATTTGCTAGAATAGCTCACAGAACTCAGGGAAACATTTAAGTTTCCTGGTTTATTATGAAAGGATATGATGGATAGAGACGACCATCCGGATGGATGGG